ACAGTGCTAAAAGGCTTTGCTAATGTTAAAAATGATCAACCTTGCAATATAGAAACATTGTGTATGCTCAATGTGCTCGACATTAAATAAATTATTTAGAAGTCAGGAATTATATATAATTATAACAACACAAATGTCAAAATTGTAATTAAGGTCAGATGTTGTGGCAAACTGAGACATCCGGATTTATCTTGCAAATTCTGTAACAGATCTTAATAAAATAACTAAGTTAACATAAATTCATCCTCCTCATCCACATGAATTAAACAAAAAAATGAATTATTGAAAAATTGTGCAGTATTTTAAGTTCAGTTTGTTCCACTGACTCATTTTCTTGAAGTTGACTTTATATCATTAAACAATTTTATTCAACAGTAAATGCTTGAGTTACTTCTACTCAAATATCTTTAATATCTTTAATAAACTTAAACGTTTTGCCAGTTTCTTCATCAGGTTTTCAGAAGAACACAAAGTTTTAACAATAAATATTATTTATTTTCGTCACACAGTGTTTTACAACTAATTTTGGCAAGTTTGACTGTCATTGATCAAAGTAGAAAAGGCAATTTAATAAATTCTAACAAACGTATGTTGTCACACTAAGATTTACACAACATTTGAATATTGTAATTGTAATAAACTAGTTTGCTATCAGGCAAAAAAAACATGTAAAAATTCATTCACAAATTAGCACAATCTTTTTACATAATTCCAAACAATTGAAAAATACAAAAAAACTAATGTGCACACAAACAGCAGATAAACATGCAGTTAATGTCTCTTAAAGTACCTCATTAATGAGTACTTAATGTCAAAATATACTTATTGCAGTATATGATCAAAGTCTATAAGACATTTTTCTCAAAAGGAAGTCAAAACATACTTTTTATTACCTTTACATCCACTACTCTGTTTTACTATCACTGCTACACACTTGCGATATTTGGTCATCTCATCCAAAATATTCTGACTCCTGTTGGTCAGTGAACTTCACTGAACACAAACTATTCAAATACAGAAAACAACTCAAATCACCTTTTTGCTTCAAGTCAACCATTTCATTTTGATTATTCTATGTGCAAAACAGAAATCAACACACTCATATATACAGTCTGTAACAAAACAAATACTGACAACAATTTACCTGATCAAAATATTCAATCGAGACAGAATCTGTCTGCAACAACGTGTCCAAAAACAGGACTTCCAGTCTTTAGTGTGCATTTATGTAAAGATTGCAGACTGGGTGGTGGTGGGATAAGAGCAGATGCTCCAGTGGTCATTTCCCTTAAGACAGATCAAAGTGCTTGTGTGTACTGAGAGTCTGAGAGGATCCATCGACGCCGAGGGAAGGTGGCTGAGGCACCGTAATGCAGCTGTAGAGCTCAGGGATACTGTTAAGACTGCAGAGCTGAAAGGCGTCGCTCGATACACTGCTTACCTGTGAACAACAGAGATTGGAAGAAGTCAGATTAGAATAAAGATGTGGTTTGATTCCAGCATTTTCAAAAAGGATGCTATCAGGGTTCCCACTCTTCTTAAGAAATAATTTTCCAGGAGGTTTTCTTGACAACACAGCAGTGGTTCCCAACCTTTTTCCTTAAGGGACATATTCTATTTCATATTATATTCAATAACAACAACAACAGTAGAGAACAACTGATAAACTGTAAAAATTCAACACAATAACTGCAGGAAGTTTGTCTAAAGCAAGCAATTTGGAGGAATTTTGAGCAGATTATTTCCTGTGAATATTGATCAGAGATGAGTTTTTCTGATACTTTAGGGAACTTTTTGTACAATTATCTGTCTGTAATATGTATTATCTTTATTTTTGACAATCTTAACTACTGAATAGGCTTCTTATTTGACAAATTAGGTGTTTTATTCTTACCGATACTTGGCCATTGTTTTATTAGCTCTTTGGTCGTTTTAACTTTTCTTCATCAGGATGAGACTGTTTATCAGAGAGGGAAGACTCTGTGAATATAGATTGTGTTGAGGTCTTCAGGTTTATCATAAATCCTTTAAAATGTATAATTTAATTTACAAAATTGCACAGAAATGAGTGAAATACTGAGATATAGACCTACTGTGTAAGTTTTCTCACACCCCTTAAAATCAAGAAGGCCTTGCGACCCACTAGTGGTCAGTGTTTATGGGACACTTGTAGCTGGTTTTTTGTGGCGCATTTGGCTGAACCGAGCAGAAATTTTCCTCTCATTTCATTAATTTAGCCAGAGTCCATAAATTACAGTTCAAATCAAGTAGAATTCATTTTATTTTACAGAAAATTAATCTTATAACCTGTTCACCCAGATAAAAAGGGCAACATAGTTAATTTTGGACATTTTAATCAATTTCCTGTTGTTTTTTTATGACTTGGAAAACTAGTCTCTAAATTTCCAGGTTTTCCAGATTTTCCAGGACGCGTGGGAACGCTGAGTGTGGTGTGGTTTGTGTGCCACAGTGCTGTGATTTACATACATTTATCGATGCTGTCAACGTCCTTCTGCTCTGTGATGATTCGGGACAGACCCTCCATCAGCAAAAGTGCTTTCTGGTAGCGCTGGACTGACGCTGAGCCATAGTGGAACATCTCATCCAAAGCAGCCGACTGCACCTGAACGCATCCAGAACACAAACGTTAAGGTTCGGATCACGATGCACACTGTATGGAGTCTGATACGGAGTGAATATCAACACCCTCACCATGTGCACAGTGTGGTTGTAGATGAGCTTCTCTGCCGTCAGCCCGTTGAAGCGGTCCATGAGCTTCTGTTTGTCGAGCAAGAAGGTCTGCAGCCGTTGGTTGAGGGAGCGGCAGTACGTTACGCAGCACTTATACAATTCATTCAGCTTCCTGATCACTGCACAAATACAGCAAAAGACATTTAATTATTATAATAAATAGAAACTAACCGCTGTATTTAAGCTTCAACATGCAAATTCTCACTCGGTTAGACTGTCGCAGCAGAAATACAGGGATGGGTAAAGCAGGATTTCCACTCCTTAAAACATTATTTTCCAGGATTTTTCATGACAACACAGGACAGCACTTGCTCACAATTCAATTAAATTTGATTTGCATAGTGCCAATTCATAACAGAAGTTATCTCAGGCCACTTTTCAAATAGAGCAGGTCTAGACTGTACTCTATACTCTATATAAAATTACAATCACAAACAGTCATATAATTTACTGGTAGGCCTCTTATTGACACATTTAAGCCCAGTTTTATTCCTCCTTGTTTTATGATGCAGGGTTCATGATGAAGTGTCTCAGGGTTCATTACAGGTAGGTGATCAGGGTTTATGGTACACTCCACAAAGACTGCGGAACCAGTAGAGCCAACTTTTACTACCAACATCATGCAAAAACAAAACATTTACCCTAACGTACATACATATATGTATATATATATAAATAAATAAATATCACACTCTGTGACCACAGCCTAGAACAAAGTAATACATTTTGCTATCTAAAAATGTATTGGCTAATTTTGTCATGTGATAATGACATGCGATGGCCTGGCTGCTCTTCTGCAGTGGGTCCATGACACTCGATGTTTGCTCCACAGCTAACTGACTACAGTTCTCTACAGCTCTGGAGCCACATGTGGCTCGTTAGCGCAGCACTAGTCAAACCTCAATAGCGGTGGCTAATAGTCTTGAGTCTCCCTAGCTAGGCAAGTAGAGAAATTAAAAGTGCGTGTGGTGGGATTATTATATTATATATTATAGTACAGTTTAGACCTGCTCTATTTGAAAATTGTCCTGAGATAACTTACAAATAAAAGGTAATGGAAATTGAATTTAATTAACATTGTTGTACATGCATTCATCAACCACAACAACAAATGTAAATTTGGTCATTAACAGGCTGTATGCATGTAGAAATGACCGCCTGCAGCATTTCCACTGGGCCTTTCTGACAATTTATCTCAGGCTCCGGAAAAAATAAACTGCTGCGTTCTGTGTCTGATAAACCGGCTTTAACTGTAATACCATGCAGCTCATCCTACCAACTGTCGAGTTTCAAACAACACCCATGTTTATGTCGGAGATCTGTGTGAAGGACTAAAGTACAATTAAAATACTTTTTTAATTACCAAGACAACAAAGATTATTTCCAGGATATTTGCTCATTTCAATCGCTTTCCAGGTGTTTCCATGACTGGAAAACTGTCCTGAACGACTAGAAAAACCTTTAACAGACACTTTTCATGTCTACAAAACGTTGAGCACTGATACTGAAAACCAGAGGTCATGGTCTCACCTTGTTTGACTGTAGAAGAGGGAAGGAGTTGTCCTTGTTTGATGTTCTCTTTAGCCGTGTGCAGCGCCGATGACAGAAACTCTTCAGCCTTCATGTACAACACTAACTGCTCTGCATAGCTAGAATATACACAGGAGAAACACGAGTTATTCCACAGAAGATCTGTGAAGGAAGGGAGCTACTGTACAATGTAATGCCTCTCACCTCCATTCTTTACTCAGAAGGCTGATCTGATCCGTCACCAAGCTCTGCTCGAGAAAGGAATCATCAGGACTGCTGACGACCCCCAGCCCCGTGTCCTTGGATGAAGCCAATTCAATGACACAGTGGACAAAAGCCAGGGTGAAACGCAGGTCACTCAGAGCGTCTGTATGAGCCTGCTGTGAAAAGAAAAGATAAAATACATGAAACAGTTTGTGGGGAATCTAAATTTGTCAATAAAACCTCACAGTATCACCATCGTATTTGGCCGTACCTCCATCAGCGTTTCTTCGGGGAGCTCCGGAGGGTGAAAGACCAGGCTGCTGTGTGGAGTAGCGTCCATGCCTTCAGTCTCGCTGTTTCTACGGCTTCCTCCGTGGAGAAGGCGACTGTTCAGTAGCCAGGCGGAGTTAATGTAGCTGGGGGAGCCTGTATTTAAGACAAATAACGCTTAATCCTGGATGACTTATTTTTCTCATTTTGGACTCGGTTAACACCCAGTTTGTTCTTTTACCGGCCCAATGTTCATATGGTTTACCTCTAATTTGATCTGGTAAACAAGGGCTCTCGAAACTGTAATTAATTTTATTCTGTCTCTTTTTATTGGTATTTAAAGCAGCAACAAGGAACTTTAATTTTGTGTTGATTCTGGCGCCCCCTGTGGACAAAAGCAGTAATGTTTCCACTGTCACGTTTCATTGATTTCAGGGGGATTTGGCCAAAATCAACCTGCATTAAGATTCCTATATAGAAAAGATTGTTTTTATTTGTTTATGTAGTTTATATAGACTGTAAACTGTTTAGTTTAAACTCTTTGTAGTAGCTTTACAGTTATACAAAAATGCAATAAATCACAGATAGAGTTGAACACAATATATCCCCTCCAACAGAGCCCAGTCCCTATTGTAGTGTTACTGTATTGATTTATAATCAAACAGAATAGTAACAGCAATAGCAATAAGAGTAATAAGAAAAATATACAGAAAGTAAAATAAAATTATATAAAAATAAATAATGAAACGATATATAATATGCGGTCAGAACTACAAACTGTGATATAAGTTAGAAGTGGTTGCCATATAGCATAACATTTCTATAGAATAGCATATAGGGCTGCACAGTTAATCACAATCTAAATCTAATCTAAATGAACTCTAAACTGGAGAAAGCAGTGCGTAAAAAAAACACAGCCTCGCTGGGTCGCTCGTAAACCTACACAAGCTACAATAATGGTTATAAAGGAATTAAACACCTACCTGAGAGCCTCCATGATAACAAGTAATCAGGAGGAGTGTCTCCTTTGGATGGAGAACCCATTGTGAAGATTACAGGAGGTGGACTGTCTGAGTACTGAAAGCCTCTATGACAACCAGTAGGTGGAGCTGCAGGAGCAAATAAGGAGCGTCAAATGGATGAAAATGTAGCCCAGTCAATGGTCACTGCAGTAGAAACCTTAGAAATAGGTGCTTTAGAACTTCTGCTTGTTGCAAACATACAGTAAAACCTCAATTTGTACCATTACATTAGCACATAAAGCTTTCATGTACCTTCTTTTCTAATCTACAACAGCAGCTACATAGTCTTAAAGCTAGGGTAGGTAATGTAATTCAGAGGCATTTTGAGGGGCTAAAGTACAATTAAGAATTTCCAGGACAACAAAGTTAATTTTCAGAACATTTGGTCAATTTAATCAATTTCTAGGTGTTTGCATGACTGGAAAACTAAATTTCCAGGTTTTCCAGGACTCGTGGGAACCCTGCGACAGCATTTGCAATTGATTAACTAGCTGACTCTTGCTCTCCCGCTCCCGTACAGTCTACTGACAATCACACATGCTCTGCAGAGAAACACAGAGAGTTGAGTTAAGCCTCCTCTACATGCCTGCTGTTATAGAAAATGCAACAGAGCAGACATTAATCCTGTTTGTGTCTGTGCCTGTATGATACCTTCAAAATCTTGCTGTCTCTTGCTAGTTTCTCCAACATTTCAACCCTAGTCTTAAACAGGAGTGAACACAGACAAACAGAAACAGAGGGATTCATCTGACTGCTTTGCACTGGTACCTGTTATATCCATGCTCTTCTCACAGTTAAGGCTCTCGTCACTTTCCTCCTCAAAGAGGTGAGCACCAAAGGCCGCCTTCAGTAGCATGTCAGACAGCCTGCCTGCGCTCAGCGATCTGGACATTCAATACAGCCACACACACACCACCAAGAGCGTTTGATTATTTAGCACGACATGTTTTTTATACTGTGTGACAGCTCTACGTGCCAGGTTTTCCTGAATGACATTAAATGTGGATCATTGACACAAACACATACAAACTCATGTTTAATTCCACTGTTATATAATCTTGCAGGATCCTATTATATTAACATATAATCGTTATTGTTGCGTTCATAATAATATATTAAAATCATACCGTTCTGACCTTTCAAAGGGGCCCTTTTTATTGGCTGATTTCCTGTTGAGGTTGGTCTGGGAAGCAGGAGATGGGTCCAGGGATTGCAGGTCTGGAACTGTCCTGATTCGGTTTGGCATTCTTGATTGAACCTGCTGCTGAAACGGAGACAAAACCTCATTTAATATCTAATAATGTGCAGTTAGATAATGTGTACATTTCCGAACAATTTGATAAAACTGTGTGAGCTGCTTGTAGTTATTCTATTTAGGGCTTCAGTCTGTAGGTCAGGGCATCTCTGCAGCCCTACAGTACTTCATAACAATGCTGTATTTGTACATTTTACCTTTATCAAACAATTGCAGCTTTTGCAATTTAAAAAAGTAAACATTTTTCACATTGTGAAGGCAGTGAACAAAAAGCAAGCAAGAAGCAGAAACCTGGAAACAGAACAAAAACCAAACAAGTATGAGGTCATGGGATAATCAGTAAGTCGAGGCAAAATGACCTCAAATAAAAACAAAGTATCACAAACAATAACATACAGTAATTTTGAGAGATCTGTAAACACAGTTCTCTTTGAGGTCGTATGGAGGAGTAGATCATCTCTTCTAGAAGACTGAGATGTTTAACAAAACTAACAAAAGAGGCTGGCAAGGGGGCAGTTTTTCTGAAGGCAGTATTTGATAATGGTCTGTACGTCTACTTTTTAGGGATGTTGACGTTGTACTCACACTAAAACTCAGGGTTTTTAAATGATTGCTGCTACTTTCTTCCAAAAAAGTCTGAATGGAGGGACAAGACCAGAAGACATGAGCGTGATCAACCATGATTTCTCCACAGGATATTGCGTATTTCTATTAGAATCATTTGCACTTTTAGGAAGTGTAAATTATTTTGCTGTTTTAATGAGAGAAGAAACGAAATGTGTGCAACGTGAAACAAAAAGGTTCCTGTAATATAGACGTTTCAAAGGCCTACCTTAGGACTGGAGGCGTCCTGCATGTCAGGAGAGCCGGCGAGGAGTCCAGTTCTTGTGCTGAGCGGGAGAGTCTGCTCGGAGGTCTTTGGGGTCGTTCCCACTAGAGTACAAAGTATTTATAAAGATTAAACCGGTGCTTCCCAAACTGTGGACCTCAACCTAGCAATCCTTGCAGCACATCTTTTACTTGTGCGTAATCAGAAATACTTTATTGATCACCGGGGGGAAACTGGTTATGTTACAGTTGCTAAACAGCTAGAGCTAAATAGCTCTAGAAAAAAGTAGATTAAAGCAGTGGAACACTTTTGCTCATAACAGTATCACTAACGCTGTTTGAAACAAGCTCAGGCATGTTCTCTGGGTGTTGACAAAAGGCCTAAATAAAAGTATATGAGTCAGAGTCAAAGTGGGTACAGAGACACTTTACCACAGAACAACTCCAGGAATGTCCTGAACATTACGTATTCCAGAGGGTGGAATTTGTGTTAACACCCAAATGGCCCCTGGTGGCCAACAACAAGTGACTCTGCACTGACAGACTCCCATGTAGTGTGTTAAGCTGTGTGACAGAGAGAGTCTCCTTATCACTACATAAAGCCGAATTAGACGCCTACCTAGCGGGGAAGACGGTTGTGGTCGGGCTCCTCCTGATGCCAGCCTTGGGGAGTTGAGGACAAATCCTGGACTGGAAGCTCTACAGCCTCCGCACTGTGGGGAGCTTTCACTGCTGCTGCCAGCACAGCAGAGTGTGACCCTGAACGACACGGGAGAGATATTATCAGATAAAGGCAGAGAAGAACAGGGAATAAGACACTGAGGGTGGGGTGGGTGCGGAGATAAGACAGCTGAGGGGCTGCACATGCCTGGTGGAGCCATGCAAGCCCACAGGTTGCAGGTTCTGTTCCATCCGCTGGTAGTTTCGGATCTGAGTTGGGACAGGAATGGGCACCGTTTGACTGCACTTACGGCCAGCGAATCCACCAGGCTTGCTGCACGAATGAAAGGGGAAGCAAATGAATGAGACACACAGGAATAATATCTCATATTGAAGATGAAGTTATTATATTTCTGTGTTCAGAATCTAAACCCTGCCCTGTTTTCTCATACCTAACAGGTTTGAGGGGAGAGTGCAGCAGGGGAGAGGGAGGAGGTGTCTTTCCTGCAGCTCCGGGGCTTCTCTCAGCCAGTATTGAGCTCCTAAAGAAAGATTTTTGTTAGCTCTATCTGCAATACATTCACAATATTTACCAACATTAATCCTGTACAAAATCTGTTCCACTTTTAGTGGAATTTAGTTTAGAGACGGTACAGTGCAAAAATAATAAATACACTATAGATATGGCTGCAGATGAGGGCTGCACGATACTGTAAATACATCATAATAATTATATAATGATTCAATTTTCACTGAAAAAACTATTAAAATCATCATGATCCCAACAAGCATGTTTAATTAAATCTGGGGAACAAGATTTGTAAGCCATGGCATCTCTTTACAGCTACAGCACTTCGTTACAGGAAGGGGGAGTGGAGCTACAGTTTTCCTTTAACTGTAACATTAATTTTGCCAGAACCCATAAATAAGATGTTGATATCTGCTGCTTTTATCCCAACAGTTCACAGCAAAGAAACAGTTATTTTTCTCTATATTTTTGTAATAATAGCCCACTATGGATGAAGTAATAAACACAAAAGCAGAATTTCATACATATATACTGACACATATTTAACAATTTATGCCTAATACTGATTAACTGACAAGATATTGTGCACCCCTCAAGGTGTGACTACTCACCCACTGTATATCAGGCAACTCTCAATGGGTGACCCGACCTCCAGCTCACATGTGTACTCACCTACAAAACAGTAAAATAGAAATTATGTGAAGAAGAAGCTGCATAATAATAAAAAAAAAATGCAGATATCTGTAGAGTGATGCTTACTGGGAAACTGGGCAGGCACCATTACGAAGTCCTCCGTGTAAGATGAGGTGTTCCTACTGTCCTGATTGGCTATTTCTTTCAGCAGGAAGGCCGGAGTGTCCTGCGTTGGGGAAAAGCGCGTTTTGGGCTGAAGTCGGTGCATCTCTCCGTCGGAATGCTACGAGAGCGTGAAAACAAAATAAAATATATAAATATGATAAATTACAAGGAAGTCAATGCACTATGGAAGAAAGGTGTGCGCACTTGAGGGGAGGCCAGATGGGATGTGGAGGAGCTGCCAGAGGAACTGCCAGAGCCTGAACCGGGGAAGGAGAGCGCAGGAGCTGGAGAGCCTGTCAGGGGGAAAAAAACATAAATGTGCTTGTGTTAGGACCCTGGCGACGGCACCTTAACTGATAATCTGTTGTTCTGCTGAGACAAGCGAGATACAGTCCGTACATTTCTTTGCAGATGAGCTTGTGTCCAAGAAGGGATGGTGGAAGAACTCATCTGTAAATGTAAAGATTTAGATGTAAGAGAAATGTTTTTTTTAAATCATGAAACGTGGCTTTGAATGTTAAATGGCTCACCAAAGCTGATCCGTTCTTTGTGGTTTCTCTGCAGCAGCCCCATCAGGAGGTCCCTTAGCTTACTAGAAGTTTCCTTTGGGATGCTGGGAACATACAAAGGTTTCCTTTTTAGATAAACTTTTTTGATTAGAACTTGCTATTGAACAAACAAGATTTATGAGATATGCTTCACTGTGTTTGCACTTTGACGCTGATACACGTGTTAAAATAAATAATATTTAGGTCACTTGTGTTTCATAAGCCCGGAATGTATAATATGTGAATTTCTAATCTAATTTATGGCTTCAGTGCAAAACCTCAGGGTGTCGTGACGCTCTTGACTGCGTGTGTGTGTGTTTACGACGTCTGTGTGCAGCTATGGGGGCCATGTGGAAAATGATAGCCGTGCAGGCCACTAGCTGGCAGTTCGGAGCAGGTTATATATAGAATGACAAGAAAACAACAAACCGTGGCTCCTCACACACGAACAGTGCCCCGTCTTATCACCCAGCTTTTATCACTGAGAAAGATAAGCATGGCCACGAGCCATACGCAGGCTGGCAAAGTACACCACGAAAACAGTGGAAAACAATCCATAAAACCCTCTGAACGCTTTCCAGGTCCAAGTTCTGAACGACTTCAAATAGCCAGGAGAAATAAATAAAGGCATTTGACATCAAGGCACATTACACACGAACAACACCTCATAAAGAGAAATATATCACAGGAAGGACACCATAGTTAGCTTCATGCGTTAGTGACAAATATCGGCTTTGTGAGAGCAGCTGATTGAGAAAGATCGAGGCGATCGGCCCCGTCAGGCTTCTGTATTTGTTTCTTACACATTAGGTCTATTTTTAGCGGTTTGAGACAGAAATATGTCTGTGGCGTGTGTGTGTGTGTTTTGTTAACTGTCCATTGCACATTGAACATAATTCACAAACACACAAACTTGAGCGCAAGCGCAGGGCAGGTGAACTGTTATTCATCAGCAATCTGAGTGCAGAGAAGAAAGTTTACACCCTCTTCCTGTCATCTTCCTGTGCAGATTGTGTGTCCACGAATTACAACTACTCTATTACTGTGATTAAGTCATTATTAGTAATGTGATCTACTTAATCTTCGCTACCTTTTAGGGAGGCATGATGTGGTAAAAACATCATATTGCTTTTTATTTTGACAGATAATATGATTGTGATATGACACAAATTTAATTATATATATGTGTGTGTGTGTGTGTGTAGAGGTGCACTAACCTTGGTAAAAGGATCCTGTTGCTTTCATAAAACAGACGGAGCTCCTGCGGTGTGCTGGCCTACACACACACACACACACACACACACAACAAACATGTGTTACACTTGTAAATTAATTAATTTACACGCACACACACACACACACACATATGCAAACAAATGCACCTGCATCTGTACAGAGAAGCATTTTAATCAATGATAGTGGAGAGTTTTACTGGTTAATTGCATATATCATCATCATCATCACAGCCTATACTTCACTCTCTGATAAACAGCCAGTTAAAACAACAAAGAACTAACCGAACAACAGGAAGAAAACCCTGAATCTGTCATAAAATAAGCCTATTAATTATTGGAGCTGGGCGAATCAATCGCCTAACGGTAGTTGGTTTTTTTTGGCTGATTTTTGTAATTTCATTTTGCTTATTTAATGTTCTGCCTCCGGAGAACGAGAGTCGCTCAGCGGCGCAGTTCACACACTGAACTGCTGAACGAGTGAGAGGAAAAACAGCTGTAGAGTCAGAGTGTTTTCACATCTAACTGCAGTGAATTAAGGGTTTATTTTTTATTAAAGACTGTTAACAAGGTCTTAGTTCGGTATAAGAGAAAAACTGTACGGTTGTATTTTTCTGTTTAATGAAGAAAATGTATTTTCCTTTCTTGACATTTGGTGAGTTTATTTGGTTTATTAAAGCTCTTAGAGTTCGTGCATGTGTAAATATTTCAGCAATGTACTGATAGTGGCTGGTTGGAAAATGTTAACATATTGCCCAACCCTATTATGTATGTATGATTGTTAAAAAAACAGACAATAATCTGCTCAAAATTCATCCAAATCGCCTGTTTTACACAAACTCCCTGCCGTTATTGTGTTCACTGTTTGGGTTCATTGTACAGTTTATCAGCTGTTATTGTTATACACTGAATATAATATGAAATATCCATAATATATGTCACTTAATTAGGAGTCGTCGATGATATAAAAGGCTGGTAACCAATGCTCTAATCCGAACATAAGTAATACACGAAGCAGCAGAGTAAGCATCAGCAGCAGCAGCTGTGAATGTCACACTAACCCTTGGACTCAACTCTCTGACCTGCCTGGCAGAAATAGAAATCAATCCTTCCTCTCATTCTTAGAAGAAAAACCTTGAAACACAGCAACATAAAAAAAAAACCTCGACAGGTACAGGTTGGTTGTTCTTTAACTGGGATAAAAATAGCTTCCGGACAAAGACCAAACATCAGCACGTGTCTTTATATAAACCACACCTGAGGCAAATAACAGTTTCACGTGAGCAGCGGAAAGTGACACCCAGAGTTGTGAAGCAATATTTCCGCATGCCCTCCCCCCCTCCGGCCCCCGTCTGTAAACAAGGCTCTTTCCTAACAAGTACTTGAGCTGTTCCAGCGTTTTCCAACTAGCAACACTGGATATCAGGGAGAGAGTCACCCAGCAGGCAGGTGCTGTTTAACGGCTGCTTTGTGGATCACGTTGGTTCTCTGTGTTGTGAAAGGGATGTTCAGTTCTGGTGTTGACAATAATGAGTCAGTACTTTCTAGGAACTAAAGCAACAAAACGCCCAAAAAGAGAATGCTGTCATATTTAACATTAATATATAATATTTAATGTCAATTAATGATCCTTTTTGGCCACATTTTAGACCCATCATTAGGGTTTAAGTTCAAGGAAAACAGACATTTATTTGGAAAACTGTCTGAAGATTTGGACACATTTCTATTCAGTTCTTTAATAATGTGCCACAGTAATGTTTTTGAGTTCAAATATCTTTATTTGGGTGCTTTTTCTACTCAAATATTCACATATCGTGCTGCTTGAAAATATGTGAACCTCCTGAGTTTTCCCTTTATTTCTTTATTTAATCAGAAGCAGTAGATATTTCTGAATGAAATAACAGGTGGATGTTTATCAAAAACTATTAAAATAATGATGGTGTGACATTTCTTACATCTAGAGAACATCATCTCTGCAGCACTACAGCACTTCTCTATAATGCTGTCTGTCACATTTTATCAAAAAAGTGTAGCTTCTGTAATTTGGATATTGTGATTTTAATAATATTTTTCATTATGCACTTCTACTCTTAGCATAATTGACCTGTATGGGTTTGCTTTGATAAGAATAAGCTGGTTTTATCAGTTTCAATCAGTGCCGCCCAATTTCTTCCCCAAACATCTCATTTCATTGGTTTATTTAGTGCCAACTCAGGTTTCACTAACTTTTGCACCTTCAAAAGTTTTACTATGCAATTGATTTCCTCTAAACAAAAGTATATGCAATACACCTGATTAAATAAAAAAGTAAAAGGTACAACCATAGAAAACTCAGGAGGTTCCGGTTCTTTCAAGCAGCACTGTGTGTGAATGTTTGTGGTTAAATCAGCCCTCTGTGTATCTGCATGTGTGTGCCACTCACATGAAAAGGTGCCTTCCCAGTCAGACTCTGGTACACAATGGTACCAATGCTCCACAGATCGGCCTTGGCATCATAGTGCTGGGACATGATGACCTCAGGAGCCTGTGTGCAGACAAACACAGCTTACAGCTTAAGAGATGCGGTGACATTGCACCTTGTTGGCACCAGGAAACTAGAGGAAGAGCCTCTAATTCTCACCATGTACATGGGAGAGCCACACAGCGTGGCTGCCATGGTGTTCGTCTGGAGGTGACGCGCAAACCCAAAGTCAGCTGGAGGGCGAGAGCACAGTTAGAAATGAACAATCTTCCTTAAAGGCAAACACATCTTTCACAGTCATTACCGATCTTGATGCAGGTGTTGATGGGACTGGACCTGCGCCCCTCTGGGTGGCAGAGCAAGATGTTCTGGGGTTTGAGGTCTCGGTGGAGGATGCCTTTGCTCTGCAGGACCTTCATGGCCTGAGCGATCTGCTGCAGGAACACGCGGATGGTGTCCTCGCTCAGCGTCCCCTTAGCTGATGGACGAAATACAGAGGATGATCCAGGAGGGAGTCAGCGTGGACAGTATAGAGATTAAAGGTTATTGTAGCTTATTCTAAATCTTATTAGTCCATCAACAGAACATTAACCGGTAGCATTTTGACTATATACAACACATACACTGCTATAGTTAGTATAAGCACTGCTGTTAACTGATATCAGGATTTACAGAAAAGGAATTTCACTGTACTGTTTCCTGTATATATGACAATAAAGTTTAAACTGGATTAAATATTTCACTAATATATCACTTTTTTAAGCACAAATGACAAAAAATACAGGTATCAGCTTCTCAAATGTGAATATTTTCACCTTTTTTTATTAAAATACATATTTTGGTTGGTCAGGCAAAACTTAAAATGTTTGAGTATGTCAACTTGAAATTTGGGAAACAATGATTTGACAATGATGAAACAATGATACTATTTTTTTATGTCTTATGGACCAAATAATTAATTAAGAACATATTATATTATTAAAATAAAGCATTATATTAATTTATTAAAGATTCCCTGGTCTACAAATCTTGTTCTTCAGATTTAATAAAGTATGTTTGTTTGTTAAAGAAAAGAAGAAAATTTCCATTCATCATCATTTGAATAGTTTTTTTTTGTGAATAAATACATTTGTGATGCAAAAATGCTAATTCCCACACTCATGAATCACATTACAATCGCAATATGATGATTTTAATCATCATTTTACTGAGAGAGGGAAATGAGAACTTTATTTTAGTATTTAAAATGTGTATTGTTTTACTGATGATGAAATAGTGATTTAACAAACGTACATCTCTTCAAAATGGCTGCTTTACTTGTTCAAGAAAATACGACGTGATGCATAAATAGCAGTAAAAATGCTCAGGAACGTTCTGTTCTGCTTTATGTCTGCTAAGCCTGCATTTAAGAGTCATAACACGCAGTTTATCTTACCAACAGCTGAGTTTCAAGCCAAATATGCACCCAGGTTTATGTAGGCAATCTGAGTGAGGGGCTAAAAATACACCTTTCCAGGTTAACATGGCTTATTTCCAGGATATTTGGGCAATTTGAAGCCTGGAAAACTAGTCTCTACAGGTGCTCCCAGTAGGTGTGGGAACACAGTTAAAGCAATACCTTTGTTTGCTCACCAGAAACTCAAATACAATGTAAGATGAAGATGTTCAACTCTAGTCATGTCATCGTGCGTCACTGCTGACACTTCGTGGAAGAGAATTTTGTTTACGATGAGGCTTCATTTGGAAATTAATGTCAAACCCCCCCACCCCCCCTTCCTTACCTCCCTCCTCTTCCTTCTGAGTACACCCATATTATAGCTGCAGTGTTTTTCCACCGGTGGAGGACAGGGGATAAGTGAGGGACAGATGGGTGAGGTCATGTGGGTGCTGCGTGAACCTCGCCAAGTGTGACTGAGTGAGCGTTGTGCTGCGAGTAGCTGGATGCGCCTCCTTGGCGGCTCTACAAAATAAGAGACTCGGGCACGGCTGCAGAATTAGACTGACGCTCCACATCAGCGTTTAAATAGACGCACCGACACCACTGGGGTAAATTTAGCCAACAGGGGGGGAAAAAATCAACTCCATGCCCTCGGCTGCGTCACCATATTTTGAAACAGGGTTTGAAACCTGAGGTGGGGGGGGATTTAAGGCGCACAGAAAGCCAACATGAAATATAAAAGCTTCTTTTGTAGGGAAAAACCTCACAAGCCAATTCTAGAGGTTTAATTTTTATCTGGGTTAAGCACTTGGGGAGTATTAAAGATAATTTATCCACTGACCTGTTGCAACCTTAAACCTGAATTGTTTGTTTGTTCTTATTATTCCTTTAAAAACACTGAAAAAGCTCAGCCAAGCCTCTTAAAACCCTAACTGACCCGCCAGAACAACAGTAAGCCGCTCCGTAACAAACCGTGAGTGGAAATTATTCTCATGAAGGATCTATTAGACACTGGTTGAATAAGGTTGAACTCCTTACACACCATCAGTTTTCTTAATTTGAAGATTTGTAGATTAATAATAAATCGATTTACACATTTATTTTTGCAGAACAGAAGCCTTGCTGCTTCCCCATGTACATCCTATTCCTCACAGGAAGTTTAACTTAATATTTTAATACCTTTACCTAACCACTGCCACTAAAGACAACTTTCGATACTCAACAATCATCATTATGTAGATTCTGTAACGAGGAATTTGCAGTATTGTAAGTTGGTTAATTATTAATTGTTAATTATTAATTAACATCTATTTTGAACCGGTAAATATTATTTTAGGGGTTCTGGATGAAATCTTTTAGGTAGAATAGTGGGCCTATTTCTAGTTTGAAATACGCTTAACTTGCTCAAAATATGTATATTTTAGTTCCCTATGTATCACTAAAGGATCATATATCCTATTTATTCCTGCTTTTCTGTCCAATTGTCCTTTTATTCGCTTGTGTGATTTACATCAGTTTTGTCGCCTTATTATAAAAACCCCAAAACAACCATTAAGTCTGAGCCTCTACTCAGGAGGATGAAGCGAATGTCGCTTTTTTTTTTTTTTGCTTTGACCACAGGTGAAACGCAAAACTTTACAGTAGCGAGACACAAGCTATTTTAAGCCGTGCTGGAGCAGCAGAACTTACAGTGAAGGTACTCTGCCAGGTCGCCCCCATTGCAGTACTGGAAAGAGGCGAGAAAGACATAAAGTATTAACAGAAGACTCAATTTGCATTGAAAAAACAAACTTTACCTCGTCCAACTCACCTCCATGACGAGATACACGCACCCTCCCATTTCCTGTCAGGAGAAAGCAGATAAAATGCAAATGAATGCAACGGAACAGTAACTGACACCGATGCCGAGTATCAGATTGAAGTGATTTTAATGAATATGTCATATTTATTTCATGCAGAGAGAGGCTGAATTATGACATTAATGTCTCAGCAGCAGGTGACAGTGACAGCAGTCTTGACTCTTTTTGTTGGCCGCTCGCCAGCGGTGCTTCTAGAAACTCTGGGTCCCCTGATTATTACCTAACTTGTGGCCCCTGTCCAGCCTTAAGCCCCCACACCCCCCTCGCCCCTGCATCCCCAATTTGGCCGCCCCACTTCACTGCCACCGAAAAGGTCAGTGAACGGTGAGGTTGACGGGGATAGGGTGAGATTTGTAGGGTGTCGGGTCTGTGTATTGGGGTGAAACTTGAGTGCTACAACTGTAAAATGTAAATGTATAAATATATACACATATATATATATATATATATATAACACCTTGTGGCTATAAAGACGCTGTCAGATAATAGAGACTGCAGCTGGTGTCAGTGCCAGCCTGACCTTACAGTCTGCGGCTTTAAGCCATTGTTTAAGCGGCTGCCATCTGTCTGAAATAGATCAGCTCACACCTGTCTGGCTGTCTGGCAGGTGTCGGTAAGGCGAGAAACACAAACACACACACACACACAGACTCAAATACAAGCAAATGGTTAACATCCTGGGCTTAAAATGATGTTTATTTAGGCTACGACATGCAATAAAACACCATGTTCACATTAGAAAACAAAACAAATCACTTTCCAGGACATTTTTCCAGGAGTTTTCTCAACAATACAGGTCATATAATTTACCAGTAGGTCAAATATTAACACATTTAGTTGTATTCCTGCTTTTTTTTATGATACACTGTTCACAATACACGCTATGCACATATTTATTAACTACAATTCTGCTTGTGGACCTGGAAAAAATGTACTTGATGCTGAAAAGATCGCATTAAACCTGAATATTACACTTTATTGTAATGATTATTATGATTCTCATCTCTATACTATCATAACAGTAGTTGTTTATTATATAATTATTATCACTTTATATATATATTCTATAATAATTTAAACTTTTTTATGCTCTTTTTGTCTTATTATATGAATGTCAGCTCACTTTAATGTCACAAAATATCACCAATGTACCATTTAAATGAATATGTAAAACATGAATATAAAAATATGTAGGCGATCTGAGTGAGAGGAGCTCAAATACAATTAAAATTTTCCAGGACAACGTAGATTATTTCCAGGATAGTTGGTCATTTTAATCAATTTCCAGGTGTTT